AGACGATACCTAGCCTGACATAAAAGTCTGACAAATACCTACCAATATTTTCCAAAAGATGCTGCACACAAATCTCATAGGACTTCAGAAATGATAAACACAAATTACCAGCTGATCACTAGGGCAGACACTTAAGAGAAATTTGATAAATGCTTGACAACTCTCACAGGGCACTGGCCACCTGATTTTAAATATTATATGGAATTTCTCCTTAAAGATGTTGAATATACCAGTATACATCCTACAACTACTATTCAATACTGACATAGGTTTTCCTAGATAATACAGGGTAAGGAAAACATACCTGTTATAAAGGAGGATAAAATATATTACTAGATGAGAAAATGTCTAGATAATACAATTTTCTATTTGTAAAATCCCAGAGTATTGATGTAAAAAAAAAAGTAGCAAAAAGTAAGTAAAAAATGTTCTAGTCCCCCATTACCAAAATATATGAATACTCAAATTTCTTATATAAAGTGGCATTGTGTTTGTATATAATCTATGCACATCCTCACATATACTTTATGTTGCCTCTAGATTACTTTTAATACCTGTTACAATGTAAATACTGTCTAAATTTTTGTTATATTTATTGTTCAGGAAAGAGTTATAAGAAAAAACGTCTACATCTTAGTTCAAAACCAACATTTAAATATTTTCAGTCAGTGATTAATTGACCCCAAGGATCTTGACCTAAAGATAGAAAGCTGACTGTACCAGTGAAGCCACATAGTGTTTATCTTTCTGTTTTACTTAACAGCCTTCAGGTTCATCTATATTATAAGAAAATGACAAGAAGGACTCCTTTAAATAATATTCCATTGGATGCATTTGTATTTTCTTGATTCATTTATAGGTTGGCAGGTTCTTAGATTGGTTCCAATTCTAAGTTATTTTGTATAATGCTGCAGTGAACACAGAATTCAAGATGTCTCATTGACATATGTGTTTGATTTTCTCTGAATATATACCCAGTAGCAGGATTGCTAGATAATTTCTTTGTCTTACTTTTAATTTAAAAAAAAGATTTATTTACCTATTTTTAATGTGTATAGGTATTTTGCCCGAATGTTTGTCTGTACACCATATGCATGTAGTGGCAACAGAGTTCATAAGATGGTGCCAGATCCATGGGGAACTGGAGTCACAGACAGCTGTGAGCCACCATGTGGGTGCTGGGACTCAACACCAGTCCTCTGCAAAAGCAACTAGTGCTCCCAACCTCTCAGCCACCACTCTGCTACTTATTTTTAAATTTTGAGGATTCTTCATATGTTTTCCTTAATGACTTCACTCATTTACATTTCTACCAATAGTGTGAAAGGTTCCTACTTCTCGGCTTCCATATCAGTACTTCATCCTTCTGACGATAATCATTCTAGCCGATGTAAGATGATATCTCGTTATTGTTTTATATTTTCATTTCTTTAGTGATAATTGATTTTGAGCACTTTTCATATACCTGCTAGTAACTTGTATATCTTTCTTTGAAAAATGTCCATTTAAGAATTTTATAGTCCTGTTCCTCTTTTGATAGTTCTGGGGGATCACACTTAGGGCCTTTGACATGCTAGGCAAGCGCTTCATCACTGAACTGCGTCTCCTTTACCCATCTTTTAACTGGCTTTTTTCTAACTATTGAATTACTTATGCATATTAACCTCTTATCAAATGTATGGCATTCAAATACAGGCTCCCATTCTCTTCACTAAGCTTAAATGTAATGGTTTGGGGGGGATAAAGAACTTGAATGTGGTCCAGAGTTTCAAGGATAAAATTTAAAGGCACAAAAGTCATGAAATGTGGATGGGTACAGTTCATGAAATAGAAAGAGAAATACAGAAATGAAGGCCACATCAAAAGGAGTAAAATGTCGAGGAGTGCCGGGCTGTGGGTCAGTGGCACAGCACTTCTTAACCCTTTGTGTGTGAGCCCTGCGTTTGATCCCAGCACTATGAAAAAGCAAAGAGGACAGAAACAGACACAAAAGCAAAATGGAAAAGCAACCTATGAGAAGGTTGAAAACAAACAGGAAGTGGCAAACGTGAAAAGTATAGCCTTGAGTCAGGAAAAGGACATCCAACATACTCCTAATAAACATCCTTAAAGAAATAAAAACACATGGGATGGGTTGCGGGGGAGTGTAGGGCAGGAGGAGGGAGGAGAGGGACACCTGAGGTTGGTATGTAAAATGAACAGAAAATTTCTTAATAATAGAAAAGTAATTACTAGAAAAAATACACGAGGAAGGGGAGAATGCAAAGGCATTATTCAAGAAAAAATTTGTAGCCAGGCTGGGTGGCACATGCCATTAATCCCAGTTCTCAGAAGGCAGAGGCAGGTGGATCTCTCATGTTCGTTCAAGGACAGCCTGATCTACAGAGTGAGTTCCAGGACAGCAGGGCTATACAGAGAAACCCTGTCTCAAATCAATCAATCAATCAAACAAACAAACAAACAAATAGAAAGAGAGAAAAATTAGATTTTGAGAAATACAAACATCAGAACTTGACTTTCAAGAATGTCTAGCCAGGTTGCTTTCAGGACAGCAGATAGGCAGTGAGGAGAGTTTGCCTTAACTGTCAAACTGCAATCTGGAATATGAGATCATAATATATAATTCAGAACAAAGGGGCTACTGCTTTATCTTTTCAGCTGATTGACTACTTCTGAGAGCCACATTTTAAAGGTGAAATAAAAAATAATTTCCATAGATAATATTCTGATAATTGGTGTATAATTATAAGTACATACAGAGTAGAGTTAGAGTGTAGATTCAGAAAGAATGGTTCAAGACATTTTAGGAGATATGTCATATAGAAAAACCAGTTACTTGGAGACCTGTTTTCCTTTCCTTAAGAAATCTCTCAGTGATTTGTTACTGGTAATAGGTTCAATAAAAGAAAAGATAGGAGATGGCGTTATTAATTGAGGGTGTTTAGCCTTTATGTGTCTGAGACTTAGTTAAATGTCTGAGAAACAAAGCCTTATGATACAGATCTCTACTGTCAGAATTCTGTTAGACTTGGTTTGTGTACTTGGTTAAGCTATTTTGTAGGGTTAAATTTTTCTTAATGTGATGGTGATGTTCTATCTGTTAATTTAATAATGCCTGAATTGCTTCCAGGGAACAATCCAAGGTATTGGGGAAATTTTGCTTAAAGTACAATAAGTTTTCCTGACAAGCTCTTTGGTGGATAACAGGTTTACTGGTTTCTTGTTTGGTTTGAAGACATCTAATAAGAGCTTGTGTAAAGTGGCTAGCAGTCTTCTGGATTATGCCTGAAAGCCAAGCTAAGGTGGGTGGGTTTGTATTAATAATCTGGGCAGCAAAGCCCAAGCAGAAATCAAGATTCTGTTTCTGCTTATTTTTCATGTTGTTATATTTCTAATTAAAAACCTTGACAATATTTGGATCAAGAGAAACTGTGGAGAATGTCATAAAGGTTTTTGCTGAAGAGAAAATTTGTCAATTCAGGATTTGATGTTTGTTTAATTGTGCTATCACAAAGGCAAATATAAGAGTCCTCAGTGGTTAAGGGCACTGGCTGCTCTTCCAGAGGATCTGGATTCCACTCCCAGCATTCAGCAGCAGCTGGAAATTATCTGTAACTCAAATCTCAGGGGATCCGATGCCCTCTTCTGGCCACTGTAGGTACCAGACATGCATGTGATGTGCAGACATACACACAGACAAAACACCCATTCATATGAAATAAGAAATCTAAAAATTTAAAGGGGCAGGTATATTTGGCTTTTATTATTGGGCTATTTTTTCTTTTAATCATTGCTTTCCCCATAAATTCTAGTTTATTTGGGCAAGAATATAATGCTATGCTGAGAGTTTGGGAGCCATATGGTGGGGGTGGATATCACGTAAGTGCAATCTACTTATTCATGACATAAATGAGATCCTTTGAAAGTAGATGTCAATGATAGTCTAAATGGGGAGATAAGAAAAGGAAAAACTAAAAATGTGGTGTTCACTATGGAGATTTTCCCATGCTGATTCTCTTTATGAGTTTCTCCTTTTCCTCACATCTTCCTCTGTACCCCCCACACTGTCTTTCCAGACACAGCTCAGAATTCCTACACCTGATATAATTGCAGGCTTGACTTCAGGTCTTAAAATTAAAGAGGGCTTCCCAAAGATGAGTACAACTTTCCAGCTGTATTTATTCTGCTGCGAATAAGTGGAAAAATGGAGAGAATAGTCGTTCATCCCACAGCAAGCAGCCTACCTAGGCAAGGCTAAACTACAGGGAGAAAGTGCAAATCCTACTCCCTGGCAGAGAAACAATTCACTTTGCTTTGGAAATTTGGTGAGGAACAAATTCAGTTTTAGGGAGGCTGTTTCACATCCTACTAAGGTCTGTGAATGATGTCCACACTGGTACTTCCTTGTAGGCCGATGTGCTTCTTGCTTTATTTTTGTCTCAGTTTTGGCAAAGTTTTCCTTGATTGGTAAAGACAAGCTAGTAAGGACCCATTTACCGTTTTCATTGCCCTGTGTTGCTTCCTATTATTTCTAGTTCCCTGGTGAGACAGGGAATCTGCCTGGGATGCTCAGGGGAATAATTGGTAGTCAGTGGAACACTGGAGCTGGTAATTCCACTTTGGGTCTTCAGAAGAGGATGCCAAACTTGTCCATTTAAACAGGTAAACTGAAAACAGAAAAATTCACAGCTCTGAAACGTCAAGAGAAATGTGTGATTAACTTACACAGTCATCCACTCTCTGGCCAGAAAATACAATAGTGTGTGAACTTCTGGTTTTTTGATCCTGTTCAGCTTTTGCTTTTCAAATTTTAATCCATAGGGGCTTTGAACAACTATATTAAAGGAAAGATTTTGAATGAGCAATTTAATGCTTAATATTTAGTTAAATCATTCTTTTCAGCTCGCCCCTCAGGGAAAAAAGGCTGACTGCAGGGTGCTAGGTAGAACGTGGACCTGTTTTTTGAAGCCTAAACAGAGATGCTTCTTGTAAAACCTATCGCTGTTCTCCCTGTGGACGAGCAGATTGAAAGTGAAGCTGCTTCCCTTTGCTGCTTTCAAATGTCTACAGGGAGTGCATTTAGGGTCCTGGGCACACTGTGCTGAAGAACGCCAGTAAGTGCTTTCTTTTCCTCCACACGGTCACAGGTCACAGGTCCAAAGCCTGTTTTTGATTCTCGGTTTTTACTGGTGGATGACATCCTATTCCATACTCCATAGAGTCTAGGGCGGCTTGAAAAGAAGGGCTGGTAGTTACTGTTCAGGGAAAAGAATCGACCGGTTCGCTGAAAAAATCGGAGCGCCGAATCTTGCTCCCTTTGGCTCCGCTGCCTCCAAAAGCCTGAGTCCAGAGGAAGTTTGAAATGGACACCACTCACCAGAGACCCCGCCTTGTGGCCCCGTATTGAACCAGCTGTGGCTGGCCGAGAGCTCGACAGCCACAGAGAGTAGACCTAGAAAACGTCACAGGCAGGATGCGTGTCAGTTCAGCATCTTACGGGTCCAGCACCAAACAAGCCGCCTGAGTCAGGCGCCGGACCCTAGCCCCCGGCGAGCACGGACCGAGCGTCCCCACCCGGGCAGTTTACCTCTGCACCCCTAGGCGGCGCTGCGCTCCTCCGCACCCGGCGCACCCTGCAGCCCAGCCCCGGCGCAACGCCGGTAGCCAGGGCACTTCAAGCTTGCAGTACTAGCGGGCGGAGCAACGCAAGCTTTTCGAGGCTCCTTCTCTTTGGGAGTTCGGAGCATGGTCCCAGGTCGCCGCAGCTGGAGCTTGGACGCGGAAAGGGAGGATGGTGGGTTGGGGTTTGGCAGTTCTGTGTTGGTGGGTCTCTTGTGGTGCTGCTGCGGTGGGACAGCTGGAGCACTCAGTGTTGGAGGAGACGGAACCCGGAGTCGCGGTAGGCAATATCGCCTCGGACTTGAAGCTGTCAGCAGCTTCTCTGTCCTTGCGGAACTTTCGCTTCCTTTCCAGCTACAGCGAGCCTTACTTCGGGGTGGATCTGGGCAGCGGTAGCTTGGTGGTTCGAGAGCCAGCGGACCGTGAGCGGCTGTGCGGGGCCAAAGCTGCTTGCATCTTGACATACGAGCTCATGTTCGATGACCCTCTGGAGCTGCATAAGATGCGTGTTCACCTCCTGGACACCAATGACAACTCACCCCTCTTTCCTGCTGGAGACATGCACTTGCACATCCCGGAGTTCCTGGCACCAGGAGCTCGGTTCACTCTCCCGAATGCCCAAGATGCTGATGAGGGAAGCAACGGACTGATAAGTTACAGCCTAAGCTCTAGCCAGAACTTTCGTCTGGACATGGGGTCTCGGGCCGATGGTAGCAAATACCCGGAGCTGGTGCTGGAGAAAGTGCTGGATCGAGAGCAGCGGGACACCCACCTGCTGGTGCTCACTGCTCAGGATGGTGGCCTGCCTGCACGCTCTGGAGATGCTCAAGTCACCATCACTGTGGTGGATACCAACGACAATGTGCCTGTATTTGAGCACTCCGTATACAGTACCAAGGTTCCAGAGACCGCACCCAATGGGACTGTGTTATTCCACGTTCAAGCCTCGGATCCGGATGAAGGATCCAATGGGGACGTCTGGTACTTCTTAAGCAATAGCACACCAGCAGAGCTGAGGCACCTCTTTCACATACATCCTAAAAGTGGGGAGGTTCAGGTAGCTGCTTCGCTAGGTCCACCGGAAACGTTGTTGGAAGCATATGTCGAAGCAAGAGACAAAGGTGCTTTTAGTCTAGCTAGCACTACTAAACTGCTTGTAGAGGTGACTGACGTGAATGATCATGCCCCCCAGATGGACTTCATGACTTTCTCCAGCCCAGTACCCGAGGATGCAGCTCCTGGCACAGTAATTGCTCTCCTTAGTGTAAAGGATGAGGACCTGGGTTCCAACGGTGAGGTCACATGTAGCCTGTCCAGCAAAGGTCCCTTTCGGTTGAAGGCTTCCTTTGACAGCTACTACAGATTGCTGACTGATGGGCCCCTGGATCGGGAGCAAGCAAGTGAATACCAGGTCCTAATCACTGCTTCAGATGGTGGCTCGCCCCCGCTGAGCACCCGAAGGACACTCACTGTGTCAGTTGCTGATGTGAACGACAACACACCAAGCTTTCCTCAGTCACAACAGGAACTTTTTGTGGCTGAAAACAATAGCCCTGGAGTTTCATTAGGCCGTGTGTTTGCTCAGGACCCAGACCTGGGGGAGAATGGCCTTGTCTTTTATGAGCTGTTGGATGTCATTTCTGAAGGGATGCTACTTTCCTCAAGCTTGGTGGCAGTGGAACCAACTAGCGGTGTTATCACTGCCAGAACTTCCTTTGACTTTGAACAGCTCAGGGGGCTTCACTTCCAAGTGGAAGGCCGAGATGGCGGCACTCCTCCCAGAAGTGCAACGGTGACCGTGAACTTGTTTGTGGTAGACAGGAATGACAATGCACCAGCCATCTTGTTTCCCTTGCCTAGAAATGGCTCTATCCCAGTGGAAAGGGTGCCCCGCTCTGCCCGAGCTGGACACCTGGTCACAAAAGTGGTAGCAGAGGATGCAGACAGTGGTTCCAATGCCTGACTCTCCTACCACATTTCTCAGGCTTCCGACTCTAGTCTTTTCAGAATTTCAGTCAATATGGGAGAGCTTCGGACTGCACGTTTAGTTTTTCCCACTGATGCAGTCAAACAGAGGGTGGTGGTAGTGGTTCAGGACCACGGAGAGCCTCCACTTTCCTCCTCTGTCACTCTGGGTGTGCTATTGAGCACCTCTGTCCCTCGGGTCTTTCCAGACTTTGAAGATATCTGGGAACCAAGAGTACAGTTTTCTGCCCGGAACTTGTATTTGGTGATAGCTAGCCCTGGTCTGCATTTCCTTTTTGTTTCTAGGGTGCTTGCTTTTCTTTGTATGTATCAAGTTGAGCCAGAGCCCAGATTGTTGCTCTCATAACTGCTGTCATTCTCCAGAAAATACAAAACGTGAGAGGACAATGACTTCTAGTCCTTGGGTGACATCAGCCACAATAGATGTCACTACAATTGAGAGACTTTCTCAGACATATCTCTATCAAACCTCTCTGGGACTTGGTTCTGGTAGTAACAACTTGCTCTTGCATGGGAAATACAATGCTGCTGATCTGAGAAATCTGGCCACTGGTGTAGGACTGAATTTGCCAATATCCTGTGCTCAGATTCGGAATAGAAAAGATCATACAAATCTCAATGCCATGGTAAGCACATTCTATGGTGTTTGACTCCTCTGACAAGGAGATAGCTGCTAACTATGTTCTAGATTGTCTCATAGAGGAGTCTTTCTTTGGTTGATATTTAATCATTTGAATACTTCTCAAGATGTCAAGAATTCTGAGAATCTGCATTAGAATATTGTTCTAGACCTCAAGGAACTTAGTTCATTTTTTATAAATTAATTTTTAAAGATTGATTGATTTGTGTGTGGGTGTGTGTGCACGCACACATGTGCACCTGTGTGAAACGTAGTGTGCCTGTGGATATCAGAGGGAGCTGGCTTTCTCTTTCTGTCACGTGGGTTCTGGGTACTGAACTCCAGTTGCCAAGCACCTTTATCTGCTGAGCCATTTCACCAGCTCTTATAGTTTATTTATGAGAAATGAGGTAAAGCATTAAAACTTACAAAAATCAATAAAAGTAATACAGAATAGAGGTCTAAAACTAAAGACAATGAAGTGCTGGAGTGTTTCTTGGGCAACAGATGTGAGAGAAAGGTGCTCAGATGCCTGAAGTGAAAAAAAACATGTGCATATGCAGATCATGGACAAAACACGGAGGAAGAGACACTCAGATCACTACAATACTTTACAAAAAGATGATATCACTAGAGACGCAAAATAAATTGCAGCGGATATTTATCAAAGACAGAGACAAAATGTGAGTGAATATCTAGATGGAAGGAAGGAATCAAAGAGACCTTTGTAGTAGAGATGACATTTGACTTTGGTCTTGGATGACATTTAATACAATGTGACATATTCTACATCCTATACTTTTCTGGATATCATTGTGGCAAGCACTCTTTGAGAAAGGCATGCCTAAACGTAGTTAATAGCTCCACAGCACTTTGTAAATACACAAAAATTACGAGCATGTCTCCAAATATCTATTGTATTATCTAAAGATGATAACACTGGTTGGGTGAATGTCTTGACAACTTTTATTTTGTTTTTATTAAGCATATTTTTTCCAGAAACAAAAATGAATAATCTTTTGTCAGACACATCTGTGTCTTCAGAGGTATACTTATTTTTCAAAACTCATTCCACTTGAATTCAGTTTTCTTATTTTAGAAGCCACAATATTTGAGAGTGAAGCACATAATGCAAGTTAAGTAATTCAAATACTTCAGTGGCTTTGGGAATTCAAAAAATTTGATTGTAGTTAGGACAGTGTATTTTACACAATTGCTATTATACACTATTGTTTTCTGACCTCTCAAACTAATCATGAATACAAGAAAGAACAAAGCATTCATTGTTTCACTCTTCTAAAAAATAAGCAGAAAATGGCTTGTGAATTATTCTCCCCCAAATAATGATGGGACTGCAAATACAAGCGATTTAGATTTATTATAATGTTATATATTACTATTTTCACATGCTATGATAAAATCCAATATATAAACTATACCTATGGAATTAATAAGTGTGCAAACAATGGATTGGAACGTTAACACTTCAACATGTTTTACAATATACAATATGTCTATGTGGTTAATAGTTTGATGACCATTTCAAAATATAATGGTTCAATGATTATTTTCTTCTTCATGACATCCACAATAAGACAGTTGAGTAGAGGAACTTTCTGGCCCTAAAACTACCATGAAATATAGCACTTCAGTGTTATGTTCTGGGATGAGCATGGCTCCAGTTCTTTAGATGGCAAAGGGATCAATAGAATACACATCATTTTGAAATTTGCAGAAAATGCTACCTACAAAATCCTGCTAGTGTTAAAGGAGGCAATTGGTGTGTTCCAATGATAACAATTCAAGCATCAAAGCACCTGATACATAATTACCATTCATTTACTTAATTTCTGGTTTTTGCTTTGTTTTGACACCAAGTTTCACCATATAACCCTGGTCTGGAACTTACCATGTAGATCAGGCTAGCCTCTAACTCATAGAAATCAGCCTGGCTCTGCCTCCCAGGTGCTGGAATTAAATGTGTAATGCCACCACTCCCTGATCATTGCCTTCTGTAAAAAAGAGAGGTGAGGATACTAGTGATAGGGATAGTTTGAGAGATGGGTTTGACTAGAAAATGGAAATGTAAGTCATAATAAAGGCCAATGGATATGGAATTTAAAAAAGAAAATGAGATCTTTATTTTTTAAAAGGCTGGGCAGATGTCACAGTGGGTAAGATTGCTTGCTATGAATGTATAAGAAGCTGAGTTTGAATCTCCACTATCCATGTAAAACACTGGGCGAGGCTGCAAACTGGGTGAGACTGTACCTGTGTTGGCTGGCAGAGACAGGCTGACCCTGGACACTACAAGGCTAACACAACAAGCCCAACTGTGAGCTCCAGTTCAGTGAGAAACCCTGTCTTAATTCAGTAAAAGGGCTGAGTGGTAGGAGACCTCCCGTGTCCTCTTCTAGCTTTCACACGTGGAGCATGGGTGCACACACCTGCAGATCCACAGGCATGCATCACCTCCCACTATTAAAAAACTAAAAAATAATAGCAGAGAAAAATGCCCCTCTTTCACATTTTGATCTCATGTGAAAGATAAAGTAGCAAGAAAATGCGAAATCATCCATTTATATTTTGTTAAGTTCTCAGTTGTTTTCTCATTTTAATTTGTTTATAGTATATTGACAGTTATACTACCAAAAATTGCAGCTTAAGAAATCCAGTCAAACATGGATTTCATCTGCATCTCTTATTGAAACTATGTAACAGACACAAACAAAATTGACCTACTGTGCAACAAATAATGTACTTCATGTCCCTGTTTTCTTTTCTGTTGGGTAGTATAATTTCTTAAGCTGGTATCAGAGAAGGTACCCCTGGGGGTAAATTTCAACTTGCTATTTATAATTGAAGTGTTGGCAATTTTTTAGAAAGCATACATCACTGTAACAAAAATGGATTGGAAAACAGCATACAACTAGTCTTAAATATTTTATACCAAAGTTACTGGACTAGGCATCTCATTGCTATATTAATATGTTATTGTTCCAGAATAAATAGGGTATGGGATACTTGCAATGTGACCTGTTTACAGAGTAATAGAATGTTTTTGGCATTCAAAATGTTTTTACTTATTTGTTGATATGCACTTGTAAGTAGACTTTATCATAGGTTGATTAGATGTTTCCTTGTAACTATTTTGATTTTGATGATACTGGTCACACTTTAAAATATAACTTAGGAAGCTTGCATGAAATATGAAATATATTCAGATTTTTAAAAAATATCATTTAGATAGTATAATAGCATTTTTTGTAAAATAGGGACCCTCAGGTAAAAAAGGAAGTTGATATTTTGATTAGTTATGGTTTTCTGTAATGGATTTCTTCTGTGGCAAAGAGAAGTTTCCTCAATGAAGGGAGAGAGCTAAACTTATCTGTGGGCACAAGGATAAATATTTAGAATGTAGTTAGGGATCATGCTGATGTAGTAAAGTGGCAGTGGTAAGTTCTTCTCCATGGTCCATAACTTTAACAGCCCTGGTAGTTGGCTAGGTTTCTGGTACCAGGTGTGATTTCCCTCTTTGTGAGCAGGTCTGAAGTCCAATTAGAGAGCTGTTGGTTGCTGCCAAGGTGTGTGTACCACTATTGCACCCTTATGGTTTTCATGCCATGCTGGTTATTGCTGTGATTCATAGGTATCAAAGCTGGGTAAAATTCTTGGTTGATTTTTCTCCTGTGGAATCTTGCAGAATTTTTGGGAGCCCAGTCCTAATGGATACATCTACAACACAACTCCTGTACCTAAAGCTCAGGGATCACTGTGAAAGAGGAGGCAGAAAGATGGTAAAAGCCAGAGGATCTGGGAGTTTACTCCTGGGAGTGTCAGAAGCTATACCCATAAAGTCTCACCAATATGGTTGCATAAATAAGATCTGAACAAAAATGACATGAATAGACATGCTAACACGAAAGGTGGTAATTTCATGGGTCCTCAATCCTACACCAAGAATGACAGGCAACTAAGGAATTCTGAGAGTGATAGAGTCTTCCCCAGGGAAGAGCACACCAATTGGTTATCCAGTACCAAAGGGTCATTCTTGAAAACATACATACAAGTAACTTTATACAGAATAAGCAGATTATTGTTATATTACATATTTATGTACTTAAGATAGTATAATGTTACCTATTATAAAACAGAGAACTTCTGATAGGTAATTATATAGTATACATAATGAAAAAGGGGCCACGAATTTGAAAGAGAGCAAGGAGTGGCATATGGAAGGTCTAGGAGAGAGAAAAGAGAAGGGGTAAATGATATAACTATATTATAATCTCAAAAATTAAAAAGAAATAATTTAAGAAGAAACATAGCATTATACCTTGAGTGGACAGACAAGAAAAGCAATATCCAGAAATATGTGAGAGGGAAAGTATTGACAATATGTCTGATATGTTAGTGATCTATTGATTTTTTTGTTGTCGTTGCCTTAAAATTTGCAGTTAGAGGGAAACAATAATATTCACTTATATGGGTTGCATTGAGGACTGACTAATTGCTAAAAGGCTTTTGCCTTAGTTAGGTTTTACTATTGCTGTGATAAGACACCATGACAGGGCAACTCTTGTAAAGAAAACATTTAATTGAGGGAGCTTTCTTACAGTTCAGAGGTTCAGTCCATCATGGCCAGGAGCATGGCAGCATGCAGGCAGACGTGGTGCTGGAGCTGAGAGTCCTACATTTTACTCAGAGGCAACAGGAAGTCCACTGACTGTCACACTGAGTTAAGCTTGAGAAAAACACCTCAAAGCCTGCCCCCACAGTGACACACTTCCAACAGAAGGTGTGGCCCAGATTAAAGGTGTGCCCTCCAGCCTCAAGGTCTGGATTAAAGGTGAATGTCAACCAGCCTCCTCCAACAAGGCCACACCTTTTCCAACAAAGCTACACCTCCTAATAGCGCCACTCCCTATGAGCTTATGGGGGCCAAGTGCATTCAAACTACCACAGTTTTTATTATGTTGTTCAAGTGCATGTCAGAAATATTAACATTTGTAAGAACATCAAATAAATAAGGACCACAGCCCAAGATCCTGACTGCAATACTATGGGTTATTTGAATTTGTTGATAAGAGTAATTAAAATTCACCAACAAACAAAAATACGACAAACTAAATGATGAAGGGATCATTTGTTTTGTTTCCTAGGTGTTTTTGTTTGTTTTGCCATGCATCTCTCTTTTTTATTGAAAAAATTCCCCAGCCAAGTGTGGTGATGAATGCCTTTAATCCCAGCACTCAAGAGGCAGAGTCAGGTGGATCTCTGCAAGTTTGAGGCCAGCCTGATCTACAGATTGAGTTTCAGGACAGACAGGACTACAGAAAACAAAACAAAACAAAACAAAACAAACAAAAATCCCTTTCATATCTTCCCCACTTCCTTACTTAAACTTTTTTCCTCTCTTTCAAAAAACAAAATATACTTTCAAGAAACAAAAGCAAAAATGCCAAACAAAGCAAAATGAAATAAAAAGTCCCAAATATCGTTGGTTTTATTTTATGTTGACTAACTAACTACTTCTGGGCATGGGACCTGCCCTGGATATACTCAGTGCGTATCCACTGGAGAAAACTGAGTTTTCCTGTGGCCAGTGGGTATCAATTGAAGATGGTTTGGGGTAGGATCCCGTGTTCACTTCCTTCCCTCTGTGCTAGGATGTCAATTTATGCAGGTCTTGTGCATGCTGCCGTAGTCTTTGTGTTTTATGTACAGTAGTCCTGTTGTGTCTGCAAGACACTGTTTCCTTAGAGTTATCCATCACCTCTAGCTATTAACTATCTTCCACCTCTTCCACACAGACCTCTGAGCCTTGAAGGGAGAAGTTTGATAAAGAGTTGAGTGCTCCAGAGTCTCTCCCTCTCTACACATTGTCCAGTGGTGGGTTTCTGCATTAATTCCTGTCTACTGTGAGAAGAGGATTCTTTGATGTGGTTTGAGTGAGGCCCTGATCTATGGGTATAGCAATATGTCACTAGGAGTCGTTTTATTGCTGTGTTCATTTTGGATAATAGTATGGTAGGTTTTCCCCTCTGCTCATGACTTCTCTAGTCCCAGGTTGTTGGCCACATAAGTGGTGCCAGGTATGGGTCCCATGTCATGGAATGGGCCTTAAATCCAATTTAAAAAAGTAGCTGGTTACTCCCATAACATTTGTGACACTATTGCACCAGTATATCTTCAGGCAGGTTGCTGTTGTAGGTTGCAGGGATTATAGGTTGGTGATAGTGATGATTATCTTTCTCCTCCAGTAACATGCCAAGTACCTTCCAGTATCATGGTGCTAGTCAGTAGGGGTGAAGCTTCTAGTTAGGCACCAGCTTAACTTTTCCATGTTGGATGATACAGATAAGTATTGTCTTCAGCAATAGAGGCTTACCATCAGGTTGCCGAGAGTAACCAATAACCCTGACAACAACCTGTGATGTTTAGGGGTTTCCATAGGGCTCCTTTGGCCTCAATGGGATATATATATATATATATATATATATATATATATATATATATACACATATACATATACATATATCTATATCTATCTATCTATCTATCTATCGATCTATCTATCTATCTATCTATCTATCTATCTATCTATCTATCTATCCCATTCTTGGAACTGGAGGTTTTTTCTTGGTGGCATAAGATATCTAGTTGGGGAATTCTCTCCCCTATTATTTGGTGACTCCATATAGGTTCTTTTAACATATATCTATATATTTTAGTAAGCTTCTACAGTAGTAGGTTTCCATATAGTTTTTCAAATCACTTTTAGTGCTAATTGTCCCTCCCCCAATTCCCTCTTTTACCCTTCTCTCCCACCCCCTCTTATTTAATCCTCCTTTGTCTTTCCATAGCACTATATTGTATTTATTCCACCTTGGACATCCTCTTCTTGCCCCTAGTCCCTTATCAGGTACCTAACCTCTGTGGTTATATGGATTGCAGCACACATATCGAAAGCTTAAAAGCTAACATCTTCATATAAGAGAAAACATACAACGTTTATCCTTTTGTGTCTGAGCTACCTCACTCAGAATGATTTTTTTACCTCCATCCATTTACCTGTGAATTTCATAATTTCATCATTCTTAATAGCTGAATAATATTCCATTGTGCAAATGTACCACATTTTCACTATCCACTCATTAGTTAATGGACATTTAGACTGTTTCCAATTTCTGACTATTTATGGATAGATCAGCAATGAGTATATATGAGCAAGTATCTCTTAGTAGGATTTATTTAGAGTTCTTTGGGTTTATATATGCCAAAGAGTGGCATGGCTGGATCTTGAGGTAGATCTATTCCCAGGTTCCTGAGGAATTGCTACACTGATTTCCATAGTGGCTGTACAAGTCTATACTTCCACCAGCAATGAGTAAGTGTTCTCCTTACCCCACATCCTCACCAGCATATGCTGTCATTTGTTTTATTGATCGGGCCATTCTGACCTGAGTAAGACAAAATCTCAAAGTAATTTTAATTTTAATTTCCCTGATGGCTAAGGATGTTGAGCTTTTCTGTGTTTGTGTTTCATACTTTGATAACCTCTGCTTAGTTCTGGATCCCATTTTTAATTGGGTTATTTGTTTTCTTGGTGGTTTTTTTTTTTTTAGTTCTTTATATATTTTAGATAATAACCCTCTGTCAAATGTATAATTGGTAAAGAACTTTTCCCATTCTGTAGGCTTCTGTTTTGCCCAAATGATGGTTTCCTTTGCCACACAGAAGTCAGCTTCATGGGGTCCTATTGATTAATTATTGGTTTTAGTGCCTACACTGTCAATGTCCTGTTCGGGAAGGTCCTTTCCCATGCCAATGAATTCAGACCTATCCCCCACTTTCTCTACTGTCAGAGAGTCAGTATATCTGGCCTTATCTTGAGGTCCTTGAACTATTTGGAAATAGAGTTTTATTCAGGGTGATAGATATGGACCTATTTGCATTCTTCTGCATGCTGATATTTAGTTTGACCAGCATCATTTATTGAAGATGCTGTCTTTTTTCCTAGTGTGTGTTTTTGGTTTCTTTATAAAAAAAAATTCAGGTGTTCATATTGTGTGGACTTATGTCTGAGTATTTAATTCATTCCATTGATCAATGTGTCTGTTTTTATGCCTATGCCACATTGCTTTTATTACTATAGTTTTGTAGTATAATTTGAGGTTGGAGATGATGGTACCTCCAGCAGTTTTTTTATTATTCAGGATTGTTTTACATATCCTTTTTAAATGTTTCCCATATGAAGTTGAAGATTATTTATTCAATTTCTGTGAAGAATTGTGTTGGAATTTGGATGGGGATTGCATTGAATCTATCGATTGCCTTTGATGGAATGACCATTTTCACTATATTTATCCTACCAATTCATGAATTATGGGAGAACTTTCCGTCTTCTGATACATTCTTTAATGACTTAAACTTTTTGCTTAGTTAGAATTATCCCAAGATATTTTTGAGGCTTTTGTTAAAGGGTACTGTTTCCTGGTTTATTTCTCAATCTGTTTGTTTTTTGTTTATAGGAGGACTAGTGACTTTTGTGTGTTCATTGTATCCTGCTACTTTGCTGGAAGTATTTATCAGCTGTAGAGTTTCCTGGTGGAGTTTTAAGGGTCATTTGTGTATACTATCATATCATCTGCAAATAAAGATACTTCGATTTCTTCCTTTCCTATTTGTATTTCCCTTATCTTCTTCAGTTGTCTTATTGCTCTAGCTCAGACTTTGAGTACTATATTGAGTAGGTACAGAGAGAGTGGACAACATTGCCTTATTCCTGATTTTAGTAGAAATGCTTTGAGTTTCTCTCCACTTAAGTTGATGTTGTCTATAGGCTTACTGTAAACTGCCTTTATTCTGTAAAGGTATGTCTCCTATATCCCTAGTCTTTCCAGGACTTTTATAATGAAGAGGTGTTGGATTTTGACAAAGGCCTTTTCTGTATCTACTGAGATGTTCATGTGGTATTTTTCTTTCAGTCTGTTTACTGGTAGATTATGTTTGTTGATGTATGTATGTTGAACTATTCCTTCATCTCTGGGATAAGGCAACTTGATCATGGTGGATAATCATTTTTGTGTTCTTGGATTCAGTTTGCAAGTATTTTAATGAGACTATTTGTATCTCTATTCATAGAGATGTGGGTCTATAATTTTGTGGGATTCGTTGTTTTGTTTTCAGTTTTTTGAGGGGGATTGTTTTGTTTTGTTTTATTTTTGAGACAAGTTTTCTCTGTGTAGCCCTAGCTGTCCTGGAACTCTCTCTGTAGACCAGACTGACTTTGAACACACAGAGATCCACCTGCCTCTGCTTCCTGAGTGCTGGGATTAAAGGCATGTACCACCACTGCCAGGCTTATAATTTTATTTCTGTTGTTGGGTTTTTTGGGTGGTTTTGGTATCAGGATAATAATGGCTTTGTAAAAAGAGTTGGGAAATATTCCTTCAGTTTCTGGAATAATTCGAGGAACATTGGCATTAATTCTTCTTTGAAGGTCTGGTAGAAATCTATGTTGAATTCTGGCCCTGGGCTTTTTTTTTTTTTGCTTGTAATACTTTAATCACTTCTTCCATTTCACCAGGGGTTATAGGTCTGTTTAAATTGCTTATTTGATCTTGGTTTAACTTTGGTAAGTCGTGTATGTCAAGAAATCCATCCATTTCTTCTAAATTTTCCAGCTTATTAGAGCACATATTTCTAAAATGTATCCTTATGATTCTCTAAATTTCCCCAGTGTCTTTTGTAATGACTCCTTTATCTCTAATTAATTTGAATCTTCTCTCTCTGTCTTTTAATTTGCCTGAGGATTTGTCATTCTTGTTAAATTTCTCAAAGAACCAAATGTTTGTTTCATTTTTATATTGGTTTTGTTTTGTTACTTTATTTAAATTTCTGTTTCATCGATTTCAGCCCTGGATTTGATTTTTTTCTTGCCATCTACTCTTTTTGGTTTTTATTTCTTCTTGTTGTTCTAGAGATTTCAGGTGTGTTGTTAAGTTCCTAAGTATTTGGTCTCTCCACTTTTTTGATGTGGATACTTAGTGCTACGAACTTGCCCCTTAGGACGGCCTTCATTGTCTCTTGTGGGTTTGGTTATGTTCTCTTTTCATTTTTAATTCTAAAAAGGTTTCTTAATTTCCTTCTTGATTTCTCTGAGTTTATATAAACTCTCTGTTGTTATTGATAACTATAATCTGTGGAGTTCAAATAGGATGCAGAGTGTTATTTCAAATTTCTTCTATCTGTTGCTTTTTGTCCTAGTGTTTGATCAATTTTGGAGAAAGTTCCAAGAGCTGCTGATAAGAAAGTATATTCTTTCATGATGAGGTGGAATTTTCTGTAGATGTCTGCTAAGTTCATTTGATTTCTGACATTATTTTATTCAAGCATTTCTCAGTTTAATTTTTGTCTGGCTGACCTGTCGAGTAGGGTAGAGTCCTGGTCACTTAACTACAACTGTGTGAGGGTCAATATGTGATTTTAGCTGTAGTAGGGTTTTTTTTTTCTATAAACTTGAGGCCCTTGTGTTTGGTGCAAAAAAAGTTTAGAATTGTAATAACCTCTTGGTAGATTTTTCCTCTAATTAGTATGTAGTGTCCTTACCTATGTCTTCTGATTAGTTTTGATATCTATCTTGTGTGATATTAAAATAGCTATGCCCACTTGTTTCTTGGTCCCATTTGCTTGGAATATCTTTTTCCATCCTTTTACTCTGAGGGGATGGGCTATGAGGAAAGGCTGAAAGGGACAGAGGGAAGAACCTAGGAGGAATAATGCCCACACCAATAGGAGTGGAAGTAGGGTGGAAGAGGAGTCTCTTGCAGGAATAGGAAGATTAAGCCTGGAGAGATAGGAATGAGAGAATTGTGCCCAGTTTTAATTGAAGGGCTAAGAGGATGGTTCAGGATACAAATAATGTATATCTTTTATATTACACTTATGAAATAAATAATTCATCCTCAATACAGAAACACAGAAGATTACTGTATATTCGTCTAGAACTTGCTTTGGAATCTAGGAATGAATACTGAACCACAAACTCTGTGCTGCAGAAAAAGGAAAAGGCTTTTCTTCTACATACCAAATTCATGGCTGTTCCTAGAGCTGTCTGGCTGACACCTAAAAATATTCTGGTTGCATATCAGAATCCTAATGAAATATCCTCAGGTATATTCTCTGGATCCAGGACCACTGTGGTTACTCTCTGGAATCCTTAAGCAAGTGCTATTCTTTTGTTTAGATTCAAAATGATGTTCACACCAAAGAAAACCAACCAGCTATGACAT